ATTTTAAGGGCAGAGCTTTATAGACTTAAACCAAGTGGCCTTCAAGCCAAAGTGAAAGGTGGGAACCAGTTTCATCTATTTAAAGATTCAATTAGTAAGTCAATTTTTTCTTGGCATGTGCCGTTAGGCCCCCATGAAACTGAAGTGAAAATTGAAGAAATTCAAGGCAACCTAAAGAAGTGCGAAGTTGAAAAGAATAGCATTGAAGGGAAGCTTTGTGACTTTATCAATGATAAAAAAAAACAAACCAAAAACAAAAACGGCACGTAGATCATATCAGACAGAGACACTGTTTGGCAGTCGCTGAGCCAAACATTCACCAGGGAATATTTGAGCCGGACGCTCATCCAGTCATAACTGCAGCTTTCAACGTGGTAACCAACTCCAAGGACTCTTCACCATCCGTGGGGGAAAGGGAAGGCTCCAGTCCAAAACAGACAAAGCAATCGTCTGTTGTGCCAGTTGTCAGACCGCAACGTGTGAAGACAACACCTGCGTAATTTTCTTGCAGTTTTTCAGCAAGGAGCGACAGACATAAGGTACTTATGGGTAAGACAGTACTGTGTTTGTGTTGTGTTACTAGATTTTATTATTAAATAATCTATTTCAGCATTTATTTCTTTACTTTAGTTACTTGAACTTTACAGGTTTGTGTGTTATATTGTTCAGCACAAACATCTATCTTTTTTTTTAACACTTTAATTTTAACACTTGGACTTTCTACTTCAATCATGTCAGATGCTGAGGAAGCAGGTAAGTTACTACAAGGGTTCAAGGATTTAGGTGTTGTACCAACATTTGACTCACCGGATTCCCTTCATAAATGGATGATGGATTACGTTGCCCATCAGCAGCCTGAAAAGGAAGATGAGAAGCCCGACATTGCTACTATTCCTGTCAGTCAGACTCCCATTGCCATGCACCGACCTAGACTTTCTACATTTTCTGGAGACCCATTGTCCAAAGGAGATGTCACATATGCACAATGGAAGTATGAGGTTAAGAGCTACATGGCGGATGATGTCCACTCCAAAGAATCTATTTTAGAGGCTGTCCGGATGTCCTTGAAAGGTGAGCCAAAGAGCGTCCTCATGAGAATGAAATGTGGAGCAACCCTTTTTGAGATCCTTGACAAGATGCAGATGGTTTATGACAGGATGGACACAGCAGAATTCCTTCTTGGAGAATTCTACTCAGCCAAGCAACATGAAGATGAGACTGTCTCTGCTTGGGGTTTTCGTTTGGAAGAGATCCTGAACAAGGCTTCGGAGAGGATGTCCATTAGTGGTAGTAATATGGATTCTATGCTAAGAACTGTGTTCTATGAGGGATTAAGGCCAATTTTGAGGGATCTTTCAGGACATAAATTTGATACTATCCATGATTTTGATGAACTGCGACAGGCAATACGACGACTTGAGTACTCGAGGGGCCTGGAACCTAAATCTTCAAAACCAGCCCAGGTAAAGATGATGTCCTCAGAGAAATTAGCACCATCACCTACCCCTACAAACCCTGATATAGTAAAGCTTCGGGAGATGATGTTGCAGCTGACTTCGAGATTTGATGCTCTGGAGAAAGGCCGTCAGTCAGATGGTAATAGAAACCGGAAGGGACATGGAGACTCCCAGCCATCTGGAGCCCCAAAGGGTAATAGGACAAAGCAGGGAGGTAGGAATTACCATCAGGATCATCGTGAAGATTATCCGGGGCAATCTAATAGTAGTCGTGACTGGAAATATGAGCCATTCTACCAGCCTGATTTAGCTCAGCCTGTCTATCCTCCACCTACTTACCTTCCGCCATTAGCAATGGAACCACAGGTCCAGTACCAGCCAAACAGAGATGGTCCACAGGGTCCTCAGTGTTATAGATGTGGCCAATACGGACACCTCCAGATAGGCTGCCGTGTTATCATGGATCCCTCCAGGAAGCATTTAAACTCCAATCGGCCTATGAGCAGGGGGTACCCATAGGTCATAGAACGTCAGCCCAGAGAATGACGAACCCCATCGGACAAGGAGTGACAGTGACAAGGAAGCATGAAAATCCACCAGGGTTAACAGGGGACTGTAATATTGTTGATCTTTTCATAGATGGATTACCAGCTAAAGCTCTGTTAGATACTGGGGCTACAGTGTCTAGTGTCAGCCAGGAATTTTATCAACAGAACTTGCCTCATGTACCTCTACATCCAATTAGGGATGGATCTCTGGATATTCAGGTCGCTGGTGGTGCCCTTTTGCCCTACCTGGGATACATTGAAGTTTCCATTCAGATTGACAGGATACCCAGGGATGATGCCTCGACATGTCTTCTTATCGTAGTTCCTGACTATGATTTTAACAGATCAGTACCACTGTTACTTGGAACTAATGTGCTGACGCATTTTATAGAAAAGTGTCGGGAATGGTTTGGTGAGAGGTACCTGCAACATGCCCCGCTATCTACGCCTTGGTATACGTCATTCAGATGTATCTCACTGAGGGAGAAAAGGCTTGTGAGGAATAGTTATCGCCTTGCTATAGCCCGGAGTGCAGAGCCAACCAACATTGTGATACCTCCCAACGGGAGGGTGGATATACAGTGTAAGCTGGACAAGGAAGTGTATTACCCAGATGTTTGTGCTTTGATGCAGCCCACCCCCACATCAGTGGTTCCAGAGGATATGGACATTGCCCCTACCATCTTTACTTATCAGCATGGGAGGAATGGACTTTTGTCAGTCACTGTTACCAACCTGACTACGAATACTGTTGTCATACCCACTAGAGGAGTTGTATGTGAACTGCAGCCTGTACGTGTCCAGCATTCCTTACATGGAGTGGTGCCACAGGATGAAGAGGAAGATAGGTCCATGGATTTCTTAGAGAAGGTCACATTTAGTTTGGAGTTGGATGATTGTCTGCTGAAGCGAGGAAAAGAAGTATTGTCTTACTTTCCAGATGTATTTTTTTCTGGTGACTTGGACCTTGGTCAGACCGGGTCATTTCCTCATAGGATAGAGCTTACGGACACAACACCCTTTAAGCAGCGACACTGTAGAGTACCTCCAGGAATGGTGCAGGAAGTAAGGGAGCACATTCAGCAGCTGTTGGCATGCGGAGTGATAAGGAGGTCATGTTCCCCATGGGCATCAGGTGTTGTGTTGGCAAGGAAGAAAGACGGGACACTACGCATGTGTATTGATTATCGCCAACTCAACCAACGAACCATTAAAGATGCGTACGCCCTCCCACGGATTGAGGAAATACTTTATTCTCTCTCTGGATCTACATACTTCTCCGTGCTGGACATGAAAAGTGGCTACCATCAGGTGGAGGTTGCGGAGCATCACAAAGAGAGGACAGCATTTACACTGGAGCCACTTGGGTTCTATGAATATAACCGTATGCCATTTGGACTCGCCAATGCTCCTGCAACTTATCAAAGGTTGATGGAACAATGTCTAGGGGAGCTGCACATGATCGATTGTTTCATCTACCTGGATGACATCATTATATTTTCAGCCACATTTGATGAACATCTGGAAAAACTTCAGAGAGTTCTACAGAGGCTGAGGGAGCATGGGATAAAAATGTCTCCAAAGAAATGTTCCTTCTTCCAAAGGCGTGTTAAATACCTTGGATTTATGGTGACGTCGGCAGGGATAGAGGCAGACCCTAGCAAGGTGGAAAAGATCATAAACTGGGAGCGCCCATCCAGTCCAGAGGATGTTCGTAGATTCCTCGGATTCGCCGGCTATTACAGGAAGTCTATAAAGGATTTTGCAAAGATCGCCCGGCCATTGACAGATCTCATGCCGTCTCCGAAAAAGCTGAATAGGAAGGGAAGCACCGCTGCCTATTGGAATTGGGGAGAGGATCAGGAATATGCATTTAATTGTTTAAAGGAGAGATTGACTTCCCCATCAATTCTAGCCTACCCCAATTACTCTGAGCCTTTTGAAGTACACTGTGATGCAAGCCATAAGGGACTCGGAGCAGTTCTTTACCAGAGCCACGATGATAAACCACGAGTTATCGCATATGCCAGCCGTGGACTTTCCAGATCAGAGCGAAATTATCCAGCCCATAATTTGGAAGTTCAAGGACTACCTGTATGACCATCGATTTACAGTAGTGACAGACAACAACCCCCTCACTTATGTGTTGACGAGTGCAAAATTAGATGCCACGGGTCATCGCTGGCTGGCTGCTTTGTCTGCTTACAGTTTTGACATTCGCTACCGTCCGGGGAAATCTCATGTAGATGCAGATACGTTGTCAAGGCTACCCACCAAGGAAGTGATGGAGCATAAGACCAGAGAGGATACCATTACTGAGGACTCTGTCTCAGCGGTATGCCAGACATTGTATGCTCAGCCCCATTTCCAAAGCATATGTATAGCAGAGATTATCCCTGAGGATATACAGGAAACATACTTGGAGGATTTGGAGCTTGAGCAACTCAGTCTTGGAAATGTCAGGAAAATGCAGAGGATGGACAGACTTCTTGGACCATGCATCCATAATGTTCAGAATGGTTTTAGGCCCAGGAGAGAGGAGCTGCCAGAGTCAGCCTGGAATCCATCACTTTACCGACAATTCGATTCCCTGGCTGTTAGTCGAGGAACCCTCTACCGGGAAGTTTCCATGGAGGGAGAGACAAAGCGGCAACTGGTTATCCCTGAAGCATTGATTCCAACTGTCCTAAGGAGTCTCCATAATCAGATGGGACATTTGGCAGTAGCCAAAACCTTATCACTGTGTAGAGACCGTTTTTATTGGCCATCTATGTCCAAAGATGTTGATAACTGGATTGCTAGATGCAACAGGTGCGTGCGGAGAAAAACACCAACCAAGGAGAGAGCGCCCCTTGTTTCTATTCGGACCACTCAACCTTTAGAACTTGTTTGTTTGGATTATTTAAATCTCGAACCATCCAAGGGGAACTATCAAAACATATCCTGGTTATAACAGACTACTTTACTCGCTATGGTGTTGCAGTTCCAACGCGCAATCAGACCACGAAGACCACAGCTGAGGCCTTGCTTAACAACTTCATTGTCCATTATGGTATACCCAAACGTCTTGCATTCAGATCAGGGTATGGCATTCAGGAGTAAGCTGATAAAACAACTATGCCGGATGACAGGTATTTCACAGTCACAGACTACTCCATACCATCCACAGGGCAATGGGCAGTGTGAACGGTTTAACCGCACCCTACTGAGTATGCTCGGCACCCTCGAAGAGGAACAGAAGCGGGACTGGAAGTCATATGTGGCACCTTTAGTCAACGCTTACAATTCAACGAGGAACAAATCTACTGGTTATTCGCCATTCTATTTGATGTTTGGGAGAGAGCCCCGTCTGCCCATGACGAGTGGGGTATTCATGTATGGCTGTGTCACGGTACTTCAGTGAGCTGTCACTCTTAAAGACGCCATATGTGTGCGCCAGAACAAGCAGTCCAGAAAAACTCACCACATACATACACGGGTCATGCACCCATGACACCGTCGTGATATGACTGAAAAATTGTTGAAAGCGACGTTAAACCCCAATCCACCACCACCACTACAACACCTAAAACATGCTTTCAAGATAATATTTGTTGGTACATATGCATGTACTAATGTTGACAAATAATGAATTATTGTTTAATATTCATTACAGGCTATGTGTCCACACTTGTTCAAGCAACAGTTGCGAGGAGGATAGAATTCCCAAACTACCAGGATGCCACCAACAGCAGTAAACTTTTCATGGGACCTTCACCACCTCCACTTACAGATTCCTATGAAGACTTTAACAAAGATGACTTGATTCAGAGACACAGATCGCGCTTTTCTTGAAATTCAATACCAGATTTGTGTTGAAGAATCATTTGCAGATGCATTTCATTGAATGAAATTTAATGACATTTAAGTTGAGCTAAATAATGACATTTCAAGCACTTCCAATTACAAGATATTTTGTATTAGTATCACATGATCACAATGAAGTACAGTCACAGATTTTCATGGCATAACATATTTAAATCCAGTGTATTCTTCAGATGGAAATGATTGTCTTATGGCATTTACAACACAGGCAGGCAGATTTTTTCTGTTTCTCTTCCCAAGACCCATCCACAACCACCGGGCAAACCTTCTGTAGGCAACGTGTCTGTAAACCCTGTACAGAGACAAATTAATTGAAATTATATTATAAAAGTGCTAACTGTATATTATGTTCTCAAGTATGTATACATGTACTTAATTTCTATGCCGTAAATATAGTGTATAGCTAGTTGCTTCATTGTAGAAGATGCATTGGAAGAAAAGCTAGTGCTAAACTGTTATGATGTTACTTTCTATTTCTATTCTTTTAATGATTTGTGCAAACTTTATTGTAACAATTAACAATGCAATCATTAGTGTGACAAAATCATGTTTTGTTATTCTTAATTATTGTTATTGTTCTTTTTCATCAAAATGTTGGGTTTTTTTCAAATTTTGTAACTACAAATTCATTCATATGATTCTCATTGTCATAATCATGCAAATGAAATGTTGGCTAGCATTTTCTATAAAGGGTTGCCACAATTTTATCTTCCGTGAATTTTATTATGTCATACTTAGTAGTCAAATGATTATTCAGAATACTTATGTAAACATCACAAAATAAAGACTGGAATACATGTACACACGTTTTGTTGTTTTCCTAAATTTATACACTTACTCGTGCGCTGGTTCATTGTCTCCAATAGGACCATTTTGATCAGAAAAATAAAAAACTGACACTACAAGAACATCCTTGTTCAAGCAGTTGGCGACAAATCCTCCATCCTCGGTTATGCAAGTCACCTCCCTCTCCTGGGTCATGCTCAATACCCTTGGTATTTCCTGACAGACACACTCTTCTTCAGTGGACATTGAAACACGCGCCACAATCGCACCTGCATTAATTAAAATAAAATTACATGAATAGTTGGTTTAAATTAATCAAAAATGGTCACTATTTAATTTAACCTATAGGCAGGCCTACGTGTGTGTATGTTTGTTGGACCCACAGGCTGACAGGGGGCAAAATCTATTGATCATTAGTGCTCATCAACAAAAAATTATAATAACCAATAAAAAAATAAATATTACTGAACATGTTTGTTTTGAGCACAAATAATCTTTAGAGTGATTATTAATAGATAAATAAATTGAATACTTGTAGGACTGGAACTAAGTTCGAATTTATTTCCTGAGCCGGCTGAGGTACCTGTAGGTACTACCTGTAGGCCTAAAATGTGAACACGGTCACAGCAATGTGTATTGTATGCTCTAGGCTACACGTTTACTAAACTAGAATCTATGATACTGTACATAGCCTATAATCTATAGTTATAAAACATTAATTGACATTGAAATGGTACCTTATTTAAAATCCTACCATGAATCGTTGTCGCGTCTACTGTCCCGTCTTCTCGCAGCGGTGGCCATTTCTTCGTCCTCATTGTCCGAGTCGCCATCACTTCCCGACTCTGTGTCTACTGGCGTTGTTGGACGAGCTGGAATTCTCCTTGGTTCAAACTGATAAGGCTGAATGTCAAAATCAAAATTTTTGTCTGGAACATCGCTGTCATCTCCGTCAGACATTGTTATATAGTCAGACATTGTTATATAGGGGTTATCTTTTGAAATGGTCACATCGTTTCCCGGGCTTACGTGCTCAATAAACAGAGAGCTGAGCTGGCCACTCTCTTGATCCCAATCAGTGACGTCACAGGGTCACGTGACCGTACACCTCATTAACTTTCACAGTATCTCGGCGATACTCGTATCGCAGGCCGTTCATGGCATATTAAAAATTAACGAAACATCTGGTTATGTGCGTTATACATTTAAAATGAGTTTTAAGCAATTATAACATTAAATTATATGATTTCATAGGCAGTTGCACAAATCCTTTAATGTAGATTGATTTTGTTTATGGCAAGCCGTTTTAACATTTAATCCTATTTCCTCTTAAGGGGATAGTTTTTTCACTTAAGTGAAATTCTTTTTCACTCAAGTGAAAAACAATTGCACTTAAGGGGAAATGAAACATAATGCAAATTATTAATACAACTTAAGGGGGAGAAAATCACTTAAGGGATTCTTTTTTTCACTTAAGGTAAATAAAACAGTCAGTATGCTATCCACCCCCATTTCAAAATGGGAAGAGCCACTTCCTTGTACCTCGTTTTCATACCGGAAATGAAAGCTATTTTAAATGATGGCGGGAGACATAAGCAGAGTGCTAGAGGCAATCCAGAGAAACATACGGAATGTTGGAAGACAGTTAGAACAAGAAAATCCCGATACTGTTATGCTTGATCGGCTTTTGAGGCATTCGTTGGACAACCTTGACAGAATTTCAACTCCAACTAACCAGTTCGCCGAGGTCAGATCAGCGGTACAAGATATGATAGAGGTGGTCAACAACGCCGCATCAGCATCTGCCCAATCCAGATCTGATACAACGGATTCAGATTTTCAAGGTAAGTACTCTGGTAATAATGTAATCGGAAACAATATCTAATATCCGTAACATTTGTTCGGTAAAATACATTGGCGTTTTTTGGTAATATTTGTATCAGGTCGGGAATATATCAATGTGATTGACAACTGTTACCTATTGCATGTATCGTTTTTGGGTACTGTACAGTACTGGGACCCTACCAGAGTCTGAACTACCAGTTTCCGTGAATTTTGCGAGAACTATTGCACGCGCGCTTTCCCGTTGAATTTGGTTTGTGGTTTCAACAAAGCAAGATGACGAGACTAATGGGAAATAATAACAAATACTATCAAACGATGTGTTAACTATAATCTTACACTTTATTGTTTACTTGATAGGTGAAATCGATATTCAACTTGGGGGTGTCAATATATTTTGGTATCATACCTTGAAATAATCGTTTGTAGACTAATTTCCCGATGTTTGCACAGCGTCTGCTAAACGGAAGCAACCACACGGAACATGGTAGGTGGAAGTAACTCACAACGGAAAATTGTTGTATTAATCACAGCAAAAGACATTGTCGACGACAACAAGTTGCCACTGCCGGTAGTAACATTGACTGTGTGTTGTAAATGTTACATGTATGATAACCACAGAATAAACAATATGATTATCATATTATACTATGGTTTGTCTGTATTAACTTATTATACATAATTCAAACTCAGAATTCACATAAATAATAATAAAAAAAAAAAAAAAAAAATGAAACTAAATGACAAGAAAAATATAGAGCATAAACAATTTCAAATGAAAAGGATCAATTTAATTAAAACAAAATTAATAAATCAATAAATAAATTACCATTTTAGTGAAAAAAAAAAAAAAATTTATACCGGTAATCCAATTAGTGAATTCATTCTATTAAAATAAATAAATAAGTAAATAAATTGCAATTATTAACAGAAATTAGCATTTATTATGAATCAATTAATGAATTTTAACTCTTTACCACTTAGTACTCCCTTTACTCCAACACCTAATGACTTCATCTGACGCCCCTCTCTGTATCCCCAATGACGACATATGACGACTTTTCAAATTTCCCACTCTTTTTTGCTTGGAAAACCCCTATCCCATAAAACCTTTGTTAATTTTAACCAATTGGATTTCAGAAAAGTCTTCAGTCCATTTCCTTTGCATAAATTATCTATTTTAAGCAAAGGGGTTTCCACTGTAAACCAATCAGAATACAGTGAATATTTCTGTAGATTTCCACTACTACAAAATGGAGGATTTGTCTGAAGTGTCTGATACTGACTCAGTTCATGAAATTATTGCTGGCATTTTCAATTCTGATGATGAAGGAGAGTTTAGTGGGTTTGAACTGGATGATGTAAGTGTTTCAAACAGTGATGAAAATGAATCTGACAATGAAGATAATATTTCAAATTCTGAAAACGAAACTAATGGCGATGAAAACAGAGATCCACATGTTCCGAGATGTCTGCTTCAAAGTGGTCCTAAATTACCCAGAAACATTGATGTTAACACTGCTACCCCTTTGGAATATTTTTCACTGTTTTTGGAAGAAAACATCTATCAGAAAATTGCAAATGAAACAAATGCATATGCCCTATTACACCAGCAGGAACAGGATATTAACTGAAGTGAAACAACTTCAGATGAAATCAGAGCTTTTATTGGTCTGAATATTCTGATGGGAGTCTCTCCCCGACACAGTTACAAAGATTACTGGGACAATGATAGCTTCCTTGTCAACCCAGGATTTACCAGCACCATGACAAAGAACAGGTATGAAAAGTTGAACCAGTTTCTTCATTTAAATGCCAGTGCTGCACGTGTCCCCAGAAATGACCCCACTTATCATCCAATAACAAAGTTTTGCCCATTTATGAAATGACTTCCAGGAACTTTTTGAAGCACTATCAACATTCTACTGAGATTTCTGTTGATGAGGCAATGAAAGGCTACAAAGGCCGGTCTGAACTACGGCAGTACATGCCTGCTAAGCCAGAAAAATTTGGAATAAAGTTTTGGGCCAGGTGTGATGGAGTTACCAGCTATATGAGCAAGTATCAGTTATACACAGGTAAAAGAGACAGAACAGACATCCAGGAAAGATATGGGTTGGGATATAGAGTTGTTAATGATATGACTAGGGACTTGGTTGGAATGAACCACCATCTGTACTTTGACAGGTTTTTTTCAAGTGTTAAGCTGTCACAACACCTGTACGATGATGACATTTACACCTGTTGTACTGTTAACACCAACAGGAAAGGACTACCTGCACAACTTCGTGTGAAAAAAACTGTACTGAAGAAATCTATCCCTAAAAGAGGAAACTATGTCAGCTTTCAGAAAAGAAACCTTACCATTTCAGCATGGAACGACAACAACATAGTTGTTGTAATGTACAACAACATCGCTGAGGAAGACCAAGATTCTTCATGTTTTCGACAGGTGGGCAATAGGCAACAACAAATTACCCAACCCAAAGCCATTCAAGAATACAATAAATATATGAATGGGGTGGATGTTCATGACCAGCTAAGAAAGAAATATGCTGCAGGAAGAGCCAGCAAAAAGTACACAAGGTACCTGTTGTGGTTCATAATTGACCGTGTCAATGCTTTCATCGTTTACAACCAGGTGTCAACACGACAGGTGAGGAACAGGACTAAAACAAAGATGAGCCAGTGTGACTTCATTCTTGAATTAGGCACTGAACTCATTGGAGGCTATTCCAGCAGAAAAAGAACAACTGTTAGGGAAACTGGAGCTGTATTACCAATTGAGGGCCACAGAACACCACACACACATGTGAGGCTACCTGAACAAAAACGCGGGTGTAAATTGTGTTGGCAGGAAAAGTTGCGCCGTGACACTGTGTATGGTTGCCAGACATGCAACTCCCACATGTGTGAGAATTGCTTCAGGATGAGTCATACCTAACTAATGACAATTTGTTTTTGAATCACAATTTTATCAAACCGTATCAGTGGATTTTTACCTGTAATGCTGACTTACCTGTAAATTGACAATTGTTGTGAGACTTTATTTTTCATGTGAGCATTTTGATCTGATTCTTGAGACTCTACTGATTAATTTGGTGTATGGAAGTCATATATCAAACAGTAAATGAATTTTTCCCATTGTTTTTAATTAAGTATTAATTAAAATTTTAAATTAACATGAAAATGCTCCAGGGCTTCCCTTATCTGTTGCTATGGGGAAATAGCAAGGACGTCATATGTAGTCATTAGGTGGTAAAGAGTTTTAATCTATTAGCCAATTTTGCAAATAATGTATCAAATCAAACTGAAAATTATCTATAAATTATTAACCAATTTAGGAGAGACTAAAAATAGTCCAAAACTTCAGTCGTTCCAATTCGAACCAAACTGTTTGCCGTGGTTTGCATCCCTTAAACTCGGGGAAGAAGGTCCTGGTGGTTGAGCATTATTCTGATTTTATCAGTCTTGTATGCAACACACCACTTTGGCTTCCGACTCGGGCTAGAAGGCCGGTAATATGGTCCCTGTATTACCAATCGGCTGGTCTAGTCTCCAGATGACAGTGTCTGAGGGGCAATCGCAAGGGCATTTAAATTTTCTGCAATTTATACTTTGCGAGTATATCACTTGTGCAACCCTGACACTTAGGCGCTGGAGATCCATGCCTCCAGAAGTGTCCCCTTGTTTGGCTCCGTGGCGGGTGGGGCCACAAGTAACGAAACGAACATTAAACTAAATATGGGTAAACACAAAAATAATCCAGACGAACAGCCACACCAACATACAACAGACAAACGGAGTGAAACAGTACCAAAAACGGGGTCACCTTCACCGGCGTTTCCGAGGTTCCTTACCATGACCTCAACACAGAGTGGGAAGACAACAGCAGGGTTGTCTCCTCTGATCTTGAGAAAATGAATCCAAGGAATCGCCTTATCAAGGTCTACCGCACTCAGCAGGCTACTAACCTGCTGAAGTGCACCAGTTTTGGTGGCATCGGTGTTCTAGTGAACATTTTGTTTTCACACGAAACTTTCAGCTTATATTATTTAAGATTAAATTTCGTGATTCTTGCTTGGGTGGATAAAGGTTACAAGGTCCCTGTCATAACATAGTTTTATTTAATATTTTATATGAAAATACTTTTATTTTAAAGAATCCGGTCAAGATGGATTTTCAAAAGGGAAACGCCGTCCTGCATTTGGGATCACTGTCGACCTAATCCGGAGACAGTTGAAGAAGGGCTTCACAGCTAAAGCCATTGCAGATCAACTTCACTGCAGTCCTTCCCTGGTCTACAAGACCCTGAAATCTGCTGGCCTGCCTGTAAGAAGTGTGAAGTATTCTACAATCAGTGACAGTGATCTTGATGCTGTTGTACAAGACATTCATCGGGCACACCCTAATGCAGGAAATGAGGTAATAGTATATTAAAGTGTGTGTGGTCATCATTGGATTTGGTATAAACAAGAACACTGAATTTATCTTTTTTAATTCTTCATTCTCATTAAAGTCATTCAGAGTTCTTTTTATTTGTCTAAACATCATTCCCTTTCAACTTGAACTTTTTTACCAAGCACATCTAACATTTACATTTCTTAAAAGGAGGAAGGAAAATCAAGATCTGGTGAAGGAAAAATATCCTGTTATATAATACAAATGAAGAAATTCTAGTATGGGTGTCTGTGTAGTATGTAGATCATGACCATACAGTCAGTAATTCAACAGCACAATTGTTGCTAGCTATATGCCATTTTCAGTTTAACCTCAAACATTTCAATCACTGAATATCTTCCACAACCAAAGGATTTTATACAAAGATGCACACCTATGTGTAAAGCAAATCAGTGTAGCTTGCTAGAGCAACTCGGGACGTAAACTTCCCTTATGAGATTCAGAAGTGCTTGCTGGAGTCAATTGAGATTGCTTTTCAGGTTCGAATGTCACAACACTTACTGGACAGGAAATGGGTTTCCACTTAATTATAAGAACATTTTCAATTGATGCTTTTCAGCATTTTAAAAGCTAAATGTATTTCATCATTCATCAAAACATTTTTCAGATGATGAGTGGGTACCTTAGAAGTGAAGGACTTCAAATACAAAGACGACGGGTTCGCCAGACTCTCAACAGGGTTGATCCTGAAGCAGCTGCTCAGAAGTGGAGTCGTGCTATAGTGAGACGGGTGTATAAGGTCCCAGTACCAAACAGTCTTTGGCACATGGATGGACATATGCGTCTCATTCGGTAGGACATTTTCTCTTTTTGAGATGGTGGTTGGGGAGGAATGGGTAGGATTATTAATGTATATTATTTTAAACATGGCTGAATTTTAAACCTTTAGAACTTTAAAGTACTCTGCACGTCTTTAAATGACCTTAGTTGTGGATAGGACGTAAAACAACAATAAACTAAAACTAAACTAAAGTACTCTACTTCATAATGAAATTTTCAACATATGATAATTAATAGATATATTAGTTACATGTATATTTTTATTAGTTTTGTTTATACTGTATGCGTCTAAGTGTTTAGTCTAGTTTTCGTCTGCTTATATCGTATCGTTTGGTCATTGGTCAGTTTTGTCTTTGTCTTACGTCACAATCTTGTGTCTTATTTTATTGGCTCTTGTCCATTTCGCGCTTTTTGTTTGTTCCGGTCATTGTCTGACTGGACAGTGAGGTGACCAGAGAAATTGTGAAGTCGTGCGAGTGAATATCTGCAAACCTCATGTATAACTGTAAGTTTTGCTATTTTATTATCCTGCAAACTCCACTGATTGATTTGTATCGATTACTAAAGTATATTTGGTATCAGAAGTCGGATTTAAATTACTTTCATTATCAATATTTTTCTGTAATACTAGTTTGTACTTGTGCCGATAATCTCAAGTAATGATATTATTTGAATATCTGTATTTCTAATTTCCTATCTAGGTCATTATCACATAATGTTACTACCGATTTAGTTCCGTAATTTAGATCTGTACATTTGTAACTTTACAGACCCGCTCACCTGTACGATGCCGGTCATATTTACAAGACAAGATTTCCCCTATAACTCTGTGCCATACACAGGTAATTCAGCTTATGATAATTGTATTTTTAGTATGTATACAGATAATTGTACATCTGTATGTTATATTTTTATTTTCCGTACTTACCGTATACGGTACTGTATATCTATACCGAGCTAGTTCATATTTTACCGGTATATGAAATAAGTAATTCAGAACACATTGTTCAATGTAATATCTTTCGTTTATATATCCAGTGCAGTATCAGCTATATCTGTAACTGTTATAGTCTTTTTATACTGTGATACGTATTAGTTGAGCCAGTGCTACATGTAAACTAGTATTGTAACCGTGACGTATTAGTTATCACGTAATAGGTGTATTGTACTTCTATATTTATCTGTGTGAAATGTGTCGTATGGTCAACTTTATTATGTACATTATCGTTATGCTGTTTTATATTTGTTATTGCAGAGTTAATCTCTTGTCGCCTGCAATAAAAAACCAGGTTAATGGTTGAGAACTTATGAAGGTGTTGTTGTGGTGTTTTGCCCATAACCGACCCTGTAATATTGGCGCCCATGTAGGGACCCGGGATTAGTACTTAGCCATGCCCCATCGGCATCGCTGTAACCCCTGGAAACTCAAGGACGAGTTATTTCCTGGAGGGGGAGTATGTAACCCTGGTAAAATACTATCCGCAATATACCACTCGGCTAGAGAGAACTTCTCTTTAGCTCGATTGGTTGAGCGTCAGACTAGTAAGCCAGGGGTCCCGAGTTCGATTCCTAGCGGAGGCATTGAGATGAAAAATGACCTCTGTTACACCATCTCATTGCCAAGCTAATGTAGCTCTACCTTATTGACTAATTTTCCCCATTGTTTTTATAATGTTTGTATTATTAATTTTGCATCGAATTTCATTGTGAGTTATTAAAGCCAAAATGTGGTTTAATTTAAGAATGGACTGAGGTTGTATCTCAGTAACAAAGATATCTTATGTATAATGTGTATGTATATGTGTAATAAGTCAGTTGAGAGCTGGGAGTTAACGAATAAAGAAGTAAACTGGTAACCAACCGTCTCCATCATGTTTTTACAGATTCAAACCCTACAAACCATCGCTCGATAAATGCATGGAACAGCCACAGGATTCGCACAGAATCAAACCGGACTCCAGAGCAGATATGGACAGAGGGAATGTTGATGGGGGATGCTCATATAAGAGACTACATAGGTCCTGAAGACCTAAGTGGAAAACTCCAAGCTTTTGGACTGAGCCTCTCGGATGTCCAACTGAGTGACAGTGACCGAGTCATTCAAAGGAGGGGTCATGTACGAAAGCCGCCTGAGGTCATATGAAAGTCAGAGAATATTTTTAATTTCTCGTTATTTCGAGAAAAAATGTCGTTATTACGATAAAAATGTCGTTATAACGAGTTTTACAAGTCGTTATTACAAGAAAAAGGTCGGTATAACGAGTTTTACAAGTCGTTATTACGAAAAAAAATGGGTAATTACGAGTTTGGAAAGTCGTTATTACGAGAAAAAAGTCGTTTTTACGAGAAAAAAAGTCGTTTTTACGAGTTTCCGAGTATATTAGTACATGCACTCAAAATCAACAATTTATTTTCAAAGAAGGTCCTGACAATGGCGGAGTCCAATTTCTGGGAATTCATCAGGGAACAAACAATAACCTCTAATGAGGTCATCACAGAAATGCAAAAGGAACAGGTAAAATGATTATTGCAAATGGTAATATACAATCAAAACGTGTTGAATGCTATACTATCCAGTCAGGTACCTCAAGATAGAGGTTACCACATGCATCTTTGCTAATTTTAGACTCTTTCATGACCAGGATTTCAATACATATCGCGGACGGAGGGACAAGCTCATTATTTAGGTTTTAAAGCCACTTGATCGAAGAGGAAGTTATTTTATATTGTGGTTTGACTTCCGTCCGATTTTCCATCTTTTCCCTTCAAACGACCTCTTCTTAAAACCAATACTGATAATGGCTCTGTAGCATGTTCGGACGAAGGGCTGATAGTTTGTTCAAATCAATCACCTTCAACCACTTTCTTAGTCACACAAGGACAAATGTGTTAAAATCCTTGAATAACTTTTCAATAACCTTACGGCCCAACATTTTGATACAGCATTGGTTCTGAAGCATACTGGATTGAAGGTTAATAAGTTGGGTTAAATGAATGACTATGGCCCTATTTCAAAGGTATCCATATGGACGTATTTAGTTCTGTCTGATAAGCAGAGTATTTGTAAACATTTCTACATGAAAATTAGATAAAAAGATTATAAGACAAAAGGACAAAGTCTTATTATGCCCTCGCGGCGACTCTAGGGACTTCATTTCTCAATGGATTTTGATCAAACTTCATATATTGATTAAGTATCAGAATACCTTGAACAAGTTCGTGTTTCAAGATGCCAAGGTCAACGGCAAGGTCACAGTTGCTATTTATAGAAAATAGTTGTCATGACTCTAGCAATTCTATTTCTCGACGGGGTTTGATCAAACTTCATATATTGGTTAGGTATCATGCAAAGGTCAACCGCAAGGTCAATGTTACTTTTTATAGAAAATATTTACTGTGGCTCTTGCAACTTCATTTCTCAATGGATTTTGATCAAACTTCATACCAATTAGAATACCTTCAACGAGTTGGTGTATGTAACGTAACAAGACACTGTTATTTGCAACATAAGGGATGTGTTCTTAAACATAAGGGGGCGCGAGGGGATTTGTATAGCTTGCGATGCCTTGTTTATCTTTTCTCTGATGAACATTATCCAGTGAAAACAAATAGCAAGTTTTTAACAATTCAAATGTATGGATGTTTGCTTTAACACTCATTAAGAACAAATTCAAGTGAATGTACACTTCACTATCTGGCAGGATTTTACATTCATCTTGTTTCTTCATCAAAACCGCACTATTCAAAGTACTAACCCACTTGCAATTCAGTAACAGAATAAAAAAGAGGTTTATCTAAAATAAAGCATCAATGTAGTATTAAAATTCACTATGTTCAATAATCATCTTGAGTGTGAATTACTAAAAAAAAAGTCTTACAATGCTAATTGTTTTATTGTATTTCAGATAACTCCGGATCTGATATCCATTATGACTGATGAAGATCTGTCAAAATATGTGCCCCTCCACGGTAACAGGTTAAAGGTCAGACAGTTTCTACAAAGGACTAAACAAGTAAACAATCACGTTACGCGACGAAGGAAACTGCTAGAGGTATTAAAGGAGAAAATAGAAGTAAAACGAAAGGGCAGAAAGAGGAGACAAGAACAATCATCATCCGACGAAGACGAAATGCGGAAAACAAAGAGACAGTTTGGCAATCGTAACGCAGAAAAAGCCACCAGGCGTATTGAGATTGGATGGATTCACAAAACCAAAACTGGCAGTTTACAAGTAAGGCAAAAGAAAGGCGGCGGAACGCGACGAGTAAACATAAGAAAAGATGCGACAAAACGGGACATTCTAGAAGAAGGAAAGAGGCTGTTTTTCCCTGATGAGGTATCAACAAAAGGTCACATTTCTGATTTTCTCTGTGATGTTTGGGATTTTAGAGACAGAAGTGTGCGGGATGATAGAACAGTGAAAGAAATGTATGAGGAAACAAAAATGCCCTTACTGAGGTTTTATTTTGCCACCACGTGCAAAGACGAAACAGATAGAGATCGCGATGTGGAAAGCATCAGCATGCCGATCGTTGATGAAGGATCAAACACAAACAGAGAGTCAGATGATGACTCTCTCCCAGACCTTTATGATGCAACTACCCCTTTACCCTTGGAAAATGATCGACAATCAAATGATCTGTTATCTACAGCTATCAGGCTAGCAGGAATAGAAGAAGCAGACCAGATCGAGAATGTTGATAACGGTACTTCTCCGGTGAACCATGCATTAAAATTACACAGAGGACAAGTGTTAAAAGAACTTATCGCAGGTTTTAAGGACATTGATCCTTTTCGGGACATTGTTTCTGTAGAAATGCTGCTCCCAAATGGTATGCCTGAAGTCGCTGAAGATGGAGGCGGGGTGACTAGAGACGTGTTGTGCGAATTTTGGGAATCATTTTATGAAGAGTGCACCGTGGGAAATAACTCCAAAGTTCCTTGCATCTGCCATGATTTTGGCGAAACTGTATGGCAATGTGTAGCAAAGATTATTGTATTTGGGTGGAAAGCTA